CACGCAGTCCCTCAGGCGTTCACACAAGAACTCCCTGACAAGAATCATTACTTTTTCTGCCACTCGACTCGTTTCGCTTCTTTCAAATCGTTCTCTTCCAGTCTCTAAAGTCGTTACCCTTCAGCGCGGAAACTTTCGCGTTGTCATAACGACCCCAGGGAATCTATTGCCACGGCTATTGAAGACAGGAAAAGATGCTGAGATGGGGATGGACTCCAAAGAATCGTGGTTGGTCCGGGCCAGTGAGCAGGCGAAGCCGTCCCCCGTAAGGTTGGACAGCCATTATAGTGTCCATGTTGGAGTCCATCGTTCGCTGGTAAACTTTTTCAGGACCATTCGAGCGAATCGGGGCAAGCCTCTGGCACTGGTTTGGAAAAGGGACCAAAAAAACCCATAGCCTACACAAAAAAAAAGAAAAAAGAAGCTGATCCAAGTCTATTGAAAGGGATATAAAAAGGACGAGTGAGCTGAAAAATTCATAGATTTTTAAAGATTCTTTTTGAAACAATTTTGTTTTAGCCGAGCTACAAGGTCAATGTCTCAGCGCAATCAATCTTGAGATGAAGCGTTTTAATTTTTTTTAAACCCACATGTGCACCTGAGCGAAAAGGAATGCGATTGTCAATTAACGTGAAAATTGAAAGCAATGTATTTGATTTTAATACATTAAATCTTTCGAAGCATTCCATTTGACAAAAGACGAATTTATTTCTAAAGTTTATTTTGTTTTGTTCGTCTCACCCCACCGTCTAGACGTTTACTGAGGTCTATGCGATGAAATTCAAGTTTATGTCTGTGCTTTTTTAATGTCATCAACAATACAGTCTCGATACATTGTTGTCTCTATTCACACTTCATTCCATGATGATGTGCCAATTCCTGTTGTTATCAGAATTATGGCATCTACAGCGAACTTGCGAGTATAAAATTTCAGTTATTGGTTGGCGGGTGCTTTAGTGTGGTTTGCTCTTTCTCTCCAATCAAACATCCCTCATCCTTATATCTTGTCCTCCTGTTTTGTGTCTGCTGAACTTGCGAGTATAAAATTTCAGTTATTGGTTGGCGGGTGCTTTAGTGTGGTTTGCTCTTTCTCTCCTATCAAACATCCCTCATCCTTATATCTTGTCCTCCTGTTTTGTGTTTGTTGCCCTCTTGTAACACTTCTAATCTGCTGCACTCATATGACCTGATTGAGTTGCAGGTGCCATAAATTTTGAAAAAGTAATACCGTGCGCTCTTATTTCCGTTCTGATGTTCTGATTGAGGGTTCATGCCATTTATCAATACCTATTATGATCAGACTGTACATTGTATTTTACTTCGCCGTCCCCCCACCCCCTCCCTGTGGAACGTAGATTGCTCGGAAGCCTGCGGGACGAAGAATATTATCAATAATATCGTTCCGTCTCTTTCGATTGACATGTGGGTATTTGCAGCATTTGGACGAAATGAGATAATATCTCCCCCAACCTACAC